TCACTCAAAACAATTTTGTTCCAAACTGTTATGATTGTACAGTACAGATGTCTCTTTACCATTTGGCTTAGTGCTTACGTTGCATGGCCACAAAATACCTAGCCGTCAACATCCCGGAAGGCTTTGGGGTCAAGTGTTGCTTGTCTTTACATGAGCGACTGCCATGCAGAAGTTGGGAAATGATCCTTGGGATAAAGGGCTAGTAAGAACATTCCAGCTCCTCTAACACAAATAAGCCCATCTAACAAAAATATGTCCTGCTAAGGATGCTGAGAATCAACTTTGCATCATTGGCTATAGTCCTAAGCAAACCTGAACAGGTAAATAAACCTGCTTCTATTTAGGAATGCAAGGTTACATTTTCACTAGGAAGTGTCCTCAAAGAGGAAGTTCCTGTCTCAGGACTAGCAATTAAGTGTTCCCATGTGAGGGCGAAAAAACAGCAGCCAACACTAATTACAAGTATCCAGAGATTTCAGATAGAACGGTGCAAAGGCTGGGACAAAAGCGAGCTTCCATGAATCAGCCTTTTAGTTCTCTTCTACTTTTCTCAGACTGGTGTCCTAAGAGAATCCTGTTGGGCAGTGTTTAATTGTACACTATGCAACTTTATCACAAATGCAACATGTACTCAAGGCAAGGCAGAGTCTGATTTAAACTCCTGCGGTTTTCAGAGCCAGTTGTACTTGTGGCAACAGAGAGAAGGAACATTTTTGAGATAAGCAAACTTTATTATTTCATAAGCTTTAATGAACTACAGTCCAGTCCAGTTTATCAGATGTGTTAGCTGGCAGGAGTGTGTGTGTGTACAGGTCTATCTATCTACATACACATACACACAGAGAGAGGGAGGGATATATACGTTTGTGTAGGAATGTTAATGGATGAGTTCAGAAGGAAATAATGTTGCTTCCTGATACCAAAGATTTGAGGTTGAGTCTGGACAGTACTGAACGATTTCTCCAGCTGCTTCAGGTCAATTCTTTAGTATTGCTTTGGCAATAAACTGTAGGCAGAACCTAAAGGTCTTTCCTCAGCTTTAGCAGAAGGTATCAGATGAACTCTGACCGATAAGATTCATTTATTTGCTTTTCCAAGTTCCTATCTCTGCTTGGAATGTGGCTATACCCGACTGGCCTCTGTGCACACTTTCTGGTTTGAGTTTTAACCGTGCAATCCTAAACATGTTTACGCAGAACTCCCCCCGCCCCCACTTACTCTGTAGTGTGCCTTGGATTTCAGCCTAAAATGCCTTTTGCTTCTTTAACACAACTTCACCATTTTTCTATTCCAGGATCCAAACCAGGGATGTAGACTGCAAAGCAGATTTCCCTGGGGCCAGCAATGCGTGTGCTCAAATCTGTGGACAATCGTTTAATTAAGGGTATTTTGCTAATGAAGCATCATGCAGTCCTTGAAGCCCGACCAGTCAAACCTGCCTTGCCACATTTCTCCTCCAGGCTTTTAAAATTCTCTCTTGCCCCCATATGTCACACTGGTTCAAATATGGAAGGTACTGAATATGGCCCCACTTAAGCTCTTGGACACCATTCTAAAGTGTTTATACTTCTTTTCATTGTGGTGAGGTTTGATGATAAAAGATTTCACAGGACTTCAGTGAGGCCTATTTTTTTTTTAAAAAAAGATGCATATTTAAGCAGGAGTCTTTTTGAGTCTTGAACCAAAGTAGTAACCTCTTCACATTGTGGTTATAAAAGGCTTCCACTCACATATTTTGAGCTATGGTGAATTATAAATGTGCAGTTTACAAAGATGTCCTCACATTGAGCAATAAGGGGATTAGCACCTACTCTTCCATGAGCAATAAAATTTGTACAGTTGTACCTCTGGTTACGGACTTAATTCGTTCCAGAGGTCCGTTCTTAACCTGAAGCACCACTTTAGCTAATGGGGCCTCCTGCTGTTGCCGCGCCGCCGGAGCACGATTTCTGTTCTCATCCTGAAGCAAAGTTCTTAACCCAATGTACTATTTCTGGGTTAGGGGAGTCTGTAACCTGAAGCGTATGTAACCCGAGGTACCACTGTACTATGATTACTTTTTACCCCTTTGGTAAGGATGTGAACCGGTTGTGGGGGGAAATTAAAAATATTTGCTCATATTTCACGAAGTAATGCAGAACTTTCTTTTTTTAGAATAAGATTTTATGATGTTGCAAACATGCGTTTTTTTAAAAAAAACTATTGGTAACAGCAGTATTATATAAACGACTTTGATAACTTGGTTTGCAGTTTTATGAAAATTATTATTAATAGTATAAAGGGGACTGGTATGCAGAATAATTTATCCAGGTATGAACCGACTGACCAATGCTGAAATTTACTCAGTGACTTGTAACTGTTCTCTATTTAAGTAACAAGTCAATGAAGTGGAAGCCTCATGCTGAACAGATGAAAATGCATGATGGCTGAAGATGGTGGCAGCAGGCTACTCTAAATTTATTTCTCCTCCATTCTGACCAGTGAACTTTCTGGGCAGCTAAAAGCAAACTTTCTAGCAAATGCCACCACCCCTATGCTGAAAAGGGCACATAAGATGATACAAGTACAATTTAACAAAATAGCTGTAGTACAGTCCTACACACAAGCCTCATGAATTTGACTGAATTATTCAAAGACAGCCTTAGACATGAGCACACAAATATTTTGCCGCCTCCCATCTACAACAAGGGCTATAGGAGGGATTCCCACAATATATGAATTCTGCATTGCCAATATTATATGTGCCTGCTTGTAAATTAGTCCAACTGAGCTCAGTGAGACTTACTCCTATCCAAGTACGTATGTACAATGGTACCTCAGGTTAAGTACTTAATTTGTTCCGGAGGTCCGTTCTTAACCTGAAACTGTTCTTAACCTGGAGCACCACTTTAGCTAATGGGGCCTCCTGCTGCTGCCATGCCGCCGGAGCACAATATCTGTTCTCATCTTGAAGCAAAGTTCTTAACCTGAAGCACTATTTCTGGGTTAGCGGAGTCTGTAACCTGAAGCGTATGTAACCTGAGGTACCACTGTAAAGGACTGCAGCTTTAAGTAACATTAGTCTAGGGGAAACATGAACCTAAATACCCAGCCTGTCAATGAGGTTCCTCTGAGGAAAGTGTGAACGACATCCTATTCTATCTTTTTGCACAATTTTGGGGGAATAAACTCTTCCACTGAACTCCAGAAGCTTGGAATGGTACGCATGCAAGATACCATGCAGAAGTTACTACAGAAAACTAGGCCATTTGTTCAGTATACCACAAGACTGAAATCGTACACACATTCACCCAGGCATGAGTCTCCTTGAATTAAATGGCATTTGCTTATGTGCAGTCAAAGGATTAAAGGCACAAACCCAGAAGTCCTATATAATTCAATGAGACTTGGTCATAAAGGTTAGGGCCATAGTTATTTATACTTTCACCATAAGGTCCCAAGGCTTTCTATAACATAATACTACAATATTAAAATAAGTTTAAACAATTTGCAATAGAATATTAAATATTAAATTCAGTTTTAATAATTAACATAAAAAAGAAGAGGGGTAGGTCTTAATATATATATATTCCAGTTGTCATATAGCAGGTAAGGAAAGCCATACAATGGGGAGGAAAGTCTGCAAGTTTCGGGGCTGACACACAAACCGCCCTCTGGCGGACCACATAATAATTATAGTAATAATTTATTATTTATACCCCACCCATCTGGCTGGGTTTCCCCAGCCACTCTGGGCAGCTCCCAACAGAATATTAAAGCACAATAAAACATCAAACATTGAAAGCTTCCCTAAACAGGGGAATTATTATTATTATTATTATTATTATTATTATTATTAATGCCCCATTCATCTGGCTGGGTTGTCCCAGCCATTCTGGGTGGCTTGCAACACATATAAAAACATACTAAAACGTCATTTTTTTGGGGGGGGCGCCAACTCCCAAGTGTGGGGGAATTCCCGAGAGGCTCCCCCTGCCGATCTCCAGCCCCACGCGGGAAGGATGCGGTTTTTCAGCTATTTCCGATCCCATCTCCCCTCGCTTCTTAGCGTGACTGAAGACTTCCGAGCAAGCACGCGATGCCAAGGAGCAGCAAGCTAAGCAGGCGCGCGCTCTTCCGGCCTCCGTTGCCGAGCCCTGCAATTACCCCCCGACGTACGTGGGAGCGACCGGCGCCTTCCGCTCCGCCCCCGGCAAGAGCGGGACAACTTTCTAACTCGTGCCGGGGAGGGAGGCCGCCCCACCCAGGCTGGCATCGGGGGCCCTCGCTCCCCTTTCGCGGAAGAGGAGCGTCAGGCAAGTGCCTGTGTCCCGCCTCGCACCTGCCCGCCGTCTCTAAGGCAGCAACAGCTGGAAGCCTCCGAAGGCTCCAGGGAAGCGGACGCAGCAGCTGCTGCTCCGCTCCCCGCGTCGCAAAACACAAAAGGCGCATTCTCCCGCCGGCCGGGCATGCCAAGCTCGCTTCCTCCCATTGACGCGCAGCTGCGATCCTATGCTACATTGACGCGCAGCTGCGATCCTATTGCAAGCCCTCGGCTTCAGGGGGTGGGAATCTAGGGCTGTGGGTTTGTGCAAGCGTCTTTTGGGGGGGGGGAAGGGGAGCTGATCTCTGCGCCGAGATCCCCCAAGTGCCGCCTTTCTGCGGGAAGCGCGATCGCTGCGGTGCAAGCGAAACCACTGGGGCGGGCGGGAAGAGTCCGGGGCGCGCAGAACAGCCGCGAGCCGCCTCGAAAACGTAATAACGGCGGCAGAACGAGGCGCGATCGCCGAACGCCTCGCCGCCCGCCCGCCCGCCTCGCCGCCCAGCGTGGTCGTGGCGCTGTGTGGCTGGTGGTGGGCCAGGCTCCGCCTCGCCTCGCCTCTCCTCCCCGGTGCGTGTCTGGGGGCGGAGCGCGTCGCTCTCCGGCGGCGGCAGCAGGCGCTGTTGCTGCTGGACTGGCGGGCCAGGCGGCCGCGGCTCCTCCCCGCTTCCTTATCAGCCGCGCCGAGCGTGGGAGCGCCGAGCCCTCCTCGCCCGCCGCCGCCGGTTCCAAGTCCCGCTTCTGGCGGAGGCGATCAGGAAGCAGCGCATCCGGAGCTCCGGCTGCGTCGAGGCGCTCGGGCGGCTGGCTGCCCTTCGCCGGCCCCGCGCGGCTTCCTCGCTCCCCTTCGCGCCGGAGGAGCTCGAGCGGGGGAGCCCTCTCGCCTTTCCCCGAAACTCCCGGGCGTATCTTGGTGGATTTGTCGAGGGGCCCCGACGGGAGGGGAGAACTTGCCCCGAGGGACTCGGAGAAGCGGCTGGAGGCTTGGCTTCGCCCCGGCCCCGCTGGCTGGCGTCCGCCCGGGCCCGGGAGGGAACTTTTGTCCTTCCTGCCGAGCTCTCCGGCCCGGCGGCGGGGCCGGGATTGTTGGAGATCGCGCTCAGAAGTTTAGTTGGAGCCGGAGCCGCTACTGGGCGGGGTAGGGCGCGGGGCGCATTTGGGTAGCTGCGCTCGGGGCTCTTTTTTGTGCTTCTCCGCCTGTGTTCGGCGCGGCGATGAAGCTGAGCCGGCAGTTCACGGTGTTTGGCAGCGCGATCTTCTGCGTGGTGATCTTCTCGCTCTACTTGATGCTGGATCGGGGCCACCTGGACCACCCCAAGAACCACCGCCGCGAAGGCTCCTTCCCCCAGGTGAGTTGGTGCGGGGTTAAGGGGCAGATGGATCGCGGGTGCGCGTGCTTGTGTGTGTATTTATGTATCATACAGGGTTGTATCACAACTGTGAGCAGTTGCCAGGAGAGAAGGAAATGCATAAAGCTCGTTTTAGCGACCACAAACCGATTCCGGATCAGTTCCCTTCCCCGTACGTAGGATCTGAGTCAAGTGGGGTTAGGGGGTTGGGGTGTCTCCGGAAAGGAAAGGGGAAGTTGCTCATACTTCCCCCTTGTTCGATGGAGAGTGGGGGGGCACTAGGAGACTCCTATCTGCCCCCTTTCAGCGCCCTCTTATCAGTCTGATTCGATGGGACGAATTCCCGGGTGGAAACTGCACGTGGGATTGCAGCCTTCCCCTGGGGGGAAAGTCGCATCCTGACCGACTTCGAATGGGAGCTCATCGCCTTAGTGCCCTACTTTCTATGTTGGGTAGGCTTAATTCGAGCCGCAGGCCAGTCCCGGAGCCAGATTTGAATGTCACGCTCGGCACAGCCTTGGACTACGTACTGTAGTAATAAAAAGTGCCTGCTACTATCGGTCCTATACTTACTCCAGAGGAGTCATAGCCAGGGCGTAGGGTGCAAGGCTTCAGACAAGTGGCGTGGCTATCAGAAAAGGACTACAAATACTCTGCTGCCCTAAAGTAGACCTGGGAAACGAAGGGGATGGTGGCTGTTAACGGCTTGATAGGAGCTGCGTGAATGTGGGAGGGAAACTCATTTGGAGACTGGAAAAAGCAAGTTTTTCCTGTGTGCCTGTTAAATGGGTGCTCTACTGGTCCCAAGGCACAACTTTTTTTTTTTATTTGCAAAGTCTTATTTTTCTCACCCTCTATATTCCCCCTTATTCCCCAAAGAACTCAAGGCAAAATACATGGGAGTTGCCCTGTTCTTTTTTCTAAACAAAAATTATTTGGCATACTTCAGGCCCTGTGTGTGAGGCTGGACTGAGGCTGCCAAGTTAGCTTTGAGCTAGGTTTCCATGTTTGAAGTCCATTGTAGTTACATTACATTATCGAGTTACTTGCTTGTTGCTAGAAAGTTAATAACAGTGTGAAAGCATAGGGCTTATTTTCTACACATAAACACACCTTGTTTTATGATTTGTACTTTCCCTGATCTTATATGACAAGTACAAATCAAGTAATCTAAGACGTTCCTTGCTAGGATCAAGTCACATAGAAGAGTTATGTCAGGCTGAATAATTTTCCCAGGATATATAAGAGGGTGTGCTTGCTTCTGAGACAGGTAACTTTGGCACAGAGAGGTGTGCATTTGAATTGGATAAATGAGGCTTTTCAGCTGCTTAACAGGTTAGAATGTACCGATGGAAAAGAATTGAAATTAGTATCTTATATCAGTAGGAAAGAGCTTATTTTATTTAAACCAGCTTTTCCTGCAGATCTTGGCCTAATGCTCAGAACTGTAAAACTTAACGTGGGTTGTGTAACAAAGTAAGTGTATTTCAACATTTAGTACAGGGCTGGGGTGGGGGGAATCTTGCTCTTTTCCAGCTCTGTGGTTCTAAAATTTCCAAATTCCTATGCTATTAAGTAAAGTATAGTTACCAAAGACTGCTAGTAAATCTATCATCTCTTGCGTAACCCGTGCTTTAATATGCACATTCTAGAAAGTGGTATCCTTGCTTTTATGGAGCACAGATATTATGGAAATGATAGGTTTCTAAAGTGTTTAGTGCTTTGATTTTTTTTCTAAAAAAGCTGCTTAGAAAGTTTTCCTGTGCAACAGTACGCCAGCACGCGAGGTTGCATAGGAAGAAGGCCTTTGGAAGCTGTTGGAAAGAGTTGTGACATTCCTGGTTTTGTGTTTGAGAGAGCCTTAGCTCAGCAGCGGCTTGAAAATAGAGGGTTTTCTAGTTACTCCTGGTAACTTTTGTGGTGTGATTATCTCACCACAAAACACACTCAAATCAATAGTTGCTGCCACTTACTGAGGGAGCAGTATGGATTCTTACTACTTCAGTTAAAAGATCCACTTAGGTACCGAGTTGCAAGTATTCCACCTTTGGACCTTCTCAACAGCCATCTTCCCTCCCTAAAGGGATAATGATCAGTCTTTGCTGAACAGATAAAGCACTCATGTGAGGTGACAAGAGCCTAGTTTAGAAATCTGTTCAGATCAAGTTTCCTTAGCCAAGAAGATCACTTTATTGTTTAAAACAAAACATTAAAAATGCACTTGCAGAAATAAAGGTAAAATGCAATTTCTAGTTTAAAACGTGCCTCTCCATAAATGTGTCAGACAGATGTTTATTCTTGCCTGGTTACAGATCCAGAGGAAAAGGCAGTAATTCTTATTCAAATTCAGGACCTTTCTACTTGGCAGAAGGGTACAGTGTAGTATTCATTAGTTCACCATTAAGCCTCCTACAATATTCCTGGTTTTATACTTGGCTGTGAACTAGCCCCAGGGCACGATCTGATCTTGAATGGCAGACCAGGGCAAGTTCCAGCTTGTCTTCACAGACAGTGTGGCATCTGGGGTGTTCTGATACTGTCTAGAGTGTCAGCTTAAGAAACACACACACAGTTCGCCCTTTGAAAAATAGGCAGGCGGGCCTCAGCAGATGCAGACTCAAAGCGATCATATTTAACTCAGATGGCGTCATATATTCCTAACACTACGGATAACTTAATTGCCTTGAGCGCTTGTTTCTTCAGTATCCCAAGGTTTCTTTGTGAAGGGAGGAAATGTGTGATAAGGCATGTGAAGTAGTTCCTTCTTACCATTTGCATGCATAGTGTCAAACAAAAGGACATTGTTTAGTGCATTTATATCTAGTCTTCCGTTATGAAACTCAACATGTGTACAAGGTGGTGTACTTTGGGTTCCCAGGTGGTCTCCCACCCAGGCACTGTCCAGACCAAAATAGACTAGAAAACAAGTATATCTTTGGTTCTAGTCTATGTAGATTCTGGACATTTTAATTGGAAGTTAAATTCAATGTGTTGACATGTGGTTCTCCAATACGTGTTGTTTGAAATCTAAATAATAGGATTTACGCAGTGCTGTTTTTCTAGAAAAAGATGTGCTGAAACTCAACATGATTTCCTCCCTCATTCTCTTAGAATGGCCATGGTGCCCACCTGAGAGATGCTGGAACTGAGTTCCGGAGAGTTCCGGAAGAAAAAAAAGCCCTGGATTTAAGGCCTGTTAGTATGCAGAGTCAGGCATATTTTAAAATATTCAGTGAGACCAGTGGACTTAAGTAAACCTAATTCTTCATAGGATTGGGCTGTTAATATGCAAGTGCTGAAAGAACACAGTCCTGGTAGCTGTGCGGTTTTCTGACTGGAATGAGTTTGTCTCTTGCTACATCAGTTTGTCACTTCTTTCAGACTAGGGATTAAAGCCTTCCCAACCCAAAGGGACTTATACACATCATTTCCATTCACAGCCAATTGTGTGTGATCTTGTGCCCACAATACACAAATATCCAGAGACTGCATGTCATAGACATAGGAGACTTCCTGGTATACCCATGGAAGACTCTAGTGGCGCTTTCCCCTAAAGTGTTTAAGAAACTAATTCTAAAAGCTCCTGAAGTTTTTAAGTGTGGACAAAATGAAATAAAAACCCAAAACAGCAGAAGACCTGCTACAGGTTTACAACATAGTGCTGTACACAATTCAGAAGGGGAGAGGGTGAGGACATATTGGGGGGGGGATAAGCAAGTTCAGGCACCAGTCATTACACAATACTTGATTTTTTAAAGTGAGAAACTTGACGAAGTCGCTTCAGTTTAAAAATCAATATGTACTTTGGCTTTGGGGATAGAGTTCAGTGAAGTGCTCCTCAGCAAACTGAATCTGTGGAGATGGCAAGGCAGCTCCACACATTACAGAGTAAGATTGGTCCTTGTGTCTCACTGCCATGGGTAAACATCAACATTTTGGCATGATTGAAGGACACTTGAACGCACAATCCACACGAAGCAAGGCAAATCAAATGCACTTTTCCTGTAATGTCTGAAGAGAATTTAGCATAGGGGCCTGGTTTGCACGTTCACAGTAAACCATAGTTAGTGGGTTTAGTTTGAACACATATTTGTGGTCTGTCTTGCACTGGCTCTGTGTTACATCTGTAGTGTCGCTGTCAACGAAACAAACAAAACCGACAAAATTTCTTGTTCAGTGATGCAGAGCTCTTTATTGTAGCTCAGGTTCTTAAAATAAAACAGCAGCACCTAGTTCCTCAAAGCTAAGTACCTCAAAATCAGCCTGCAGCACAACATTGTTTTTTATTCTCTCGGTATCTATGTCGAACATTTGTTTTGAGCCTTCCAAAGCTGGACGTAACAGTAATCCAGGGGTCAAGCTTTGCTTCATCTGCACATAAGCAGGAAGAAGCAAAAAAGCCCTTTTAAACTTTCCTCCCTGTGTTATCAGTCTTCTACCTGTTCTCAAATGTGCCAACGTTTTGCAAACTTTACAGAACAGACACAATTGACCCAGGGTGGTAATGCACAGACTTGTTCTGTCACATGCAGAGCAGATCTATCTCTCTCTCTCTCTCTCTCTCTCTGTCTGTCTCTCTCTCTCTCTTTATATAGTTGAAATATCAAAGAATAAGACTATCTGGGTGTTCAATGGTTTCCTAGTTGAGCAAAGTTATTCCAAAGGGTAAGACTCCTCTACCGTACATTTTTTAATTAATCCATCCAAGCATGCAGCTGAAAGTTGTTAGAAGAACAATGAAAAGTACGACTTGTGTTTGCAAAAGGAGTCAGCTCTGACTTTCAGTAGCAAAACAAGAGATTACCGACTCATTTACGGGCTGCAAGCTGAATCTTGCTAGATCTGTTAGTGGGAAAACAGATCAATGTTTCTATAACACAGCACTCGCTAACAGCTCAAAAGATAACCTCAAGGCATTTTGGCCTTAAAGTGTACATGGCACAAAATGCCTGGCTCTGTTTGAATATGATCCTCCCTGGAAAGTTTTGTGCCCTTTTTAG